AGACAGTTACTTATTCACATAATTTATGTTCAGGTGAACGATAACAATTGATGAATAAAATATGTTTAAACTAAAGATAATAATTAGTCTGATCAGTTACACTGTGCATTGACCTGTTGACCAATATTTAGCATCCATACACATAATCATTGTGGAAAAAATAGGTACTAAATATAACTTAATATTTTAGAAGCTGTGAACAGATGTTAATATACTCACACGCAAAAGAAACGCAAGTCGAGTATGCAGTATACATGTTATTTATTTTCACCAGTAAAGACAAGAAATAACAATTAGGGAAGATTGACCCAAATTTGACTGAAGACAGTTTAATGAATTAAAAGGCAGATGACATAATTGTTTTTTTTCAAATGTTGAGGGCTTACACAGTTTCGGGTCAATACCGAAAATGTCAGTCAATACCTGGTGTGACCACCATTAGCATTGATCACTGCCACACATCTCCTGTACCATGAGTGAATCAGGCGAATTGTGAAGGCCTTAGGGATCCCCCTGCACACACCCAGAGCAGCTGTGCGTAGTTCATCGGCAGTTGTAGGGACTGGGCGCACATTGTGCAGACGCCTTTGAACCTCATCCCACAAATGTTCGATTGGGTTCAGATCAGGGCTGAGGGCTGGCCACGGTAGAACACGGTTGTTGTGTTGTTGCAGAAAGGCCGTGGTAGCTCTTGCAACATGGGGACGAGCGTTGTCCTGTTGATGTGCAAAAAATGGAACAACGTGGGGTCTGATCACTTGGTCGATATACCTCTGAGCAGTGACTCCGTGTCCCCGACCTTGATCAACATTCAGAAAGCACATGGGTCCAAGTCTCGCATTAAGTCCAATCCCTGCCCATATCATGACGCTAGGTCCACCCCATGGATCCCTTTTCCACAACGTTTCCGTCAGCGAAACGATCACCTCGATGCCGCCTTATTCTGACTCTTCCGTCTGCATGGGAGAACCAAAAGCGACTTTCATCAGAGAAGATGACACGCCTCCACTCACGATGACGCCAATTGCGATGACCCTGTGCCCACTGAAGACGTGCTTGTCGATGCCGTGGTTGGAGAACAGGACGACGTGCTAGTCGGCGACATCTGAGGTTGTTGGAACGGAGACGTCGGATCACAGTGCCCCGGCTAATGTGTCGATTATGTGTTCCTATGGTCTGTCGAGCACTTTCACTTGCTAGCAGTTAGGAACGGATGTCGCTGGTGTTGACGGGTAATCTGCCGATCTTGTCGAGGTGTGGTGACCCTAGGACGACCGCTACGAGGAAGGTCATCTGTGGTCTGTGTAGCATTGTATCGGTGCAGGAGACGGTAAATTGTGGTTATGTTAACGTTGAAATGACGGGCAACATCTTGGACAGACTCTCCAGCTTCCAAACGTCCGATAGCCTGGTTTCTCCGAATTTGAGTTAGGTGTGGCATTGTTGACCAAGGAGTGGTAGGTCCAAGAATCGGACACAGTTTTATACCCACTACAGTTCGTGACAGTTCGTGCATTTTCGATTTCGCGAGAAATGGGTGCATGATACCCACATGCATGTTCATTGAAATGGTGCGTTTTGGCGATTCGTTTTTTATGTTGCGTTTTTACTCGGGGCTTCCAAAATGCAACTAAAAATATTGATAACACCATCAGGCTTCACTACATGCTAAAACTCGTATCAATTTATGGTTCCGTGTTTGTTAACTATTTGCTTAAAACCACTTGCGTTTCTTTTGCGTGTGAGTATAATTAAACATTAACAAATATATCATCAATAGGCAATCATGGCGGTCTCTATATTGATGGAATAAATTTTCAGATGATCCGTTAATTGTGAAATCATGCTAGAATCGATAAATGTATTATAAAAGGGAAAATTCTTTAACTATCCCACATTTAATTAGAAACTAACACTAAAAACATGTATATAGTATTTTATTGATATATACATCACCCACCTGCGTATATCCTATCATATTCGGCATCTCATGAATGCTAGTTTAAAACACGTTTTGTCACGCCTATTTTCGCACACATGTTGTGGGTTGTGATCGTTGCCGATCGACGATTTCTATGGACTTATTGCTTCACACACATAATTCTTATAGTGAAAACAAAATCATCAGCATGTACATCGCAGATACACGAATCATATCACTTTGTATTAAACGTAACATGGAATGGTGATCCTTATATATCAACAAAAGTTCAAATAAAAGATACCGAGACACTTGCATGTGGCGTGTCGATTCATCTTCTCCCGTTTCCGGGTCACGGGAGCATGTAAGGTCAAACAGATAAAAAAATGGGCCAATTATATCGTGAAAATCACTTTGTAATATCATATTAGTGGTGATTACTGATAATATGTAGTCATTTGTGTTTATTCTGTATAATACAGGCGAAATATTTCAAAATTGACTGTAATTGTTTTGTTCCGAATGATTATCAGCAGACTACCCCTGTCTGTGACATCATATCCGGTGACCTTTGCACAAACTGAAATATTGCTGTCAGAATTTACGATCTTTATTTTCGTTTTTCTCTCGTCATAATGAAACAATCTTCGATTGAGAAGATCGTCAACTTTCGCCAAGGCATATACAATGAAGACAGTGTAAACTTTGTTGATATTTAAATAGCAATAAGTTTTGCCGAGGTCGGGCGAAGCGCGCCATGTTTGATGTTCGAACGTCTGCTAGCATCATGACACGGTACTTGTATTTTCGTATATCGCAAATATTCAACCAAAACTCTTGAAATAAGGATTGGTGAATATTAATGAGTCATTTATTGTTTCTTGCAAATTTGATAACATGACATGTTAGATTAACTCGAATGTTCGTATTTCTGCAACTGACATGATGACCTCGAAAATTTAGTTTTTTTCTGTTTAACGTTTGGATAATAAATTTACAGAAATGGTTCATAATTTACCATCGCGCTGTTATTTACCAATAAAAAACATCGAATTTATACTCAGTGAAAATTAAGACATCGGAGATCTGATTATTGAAATCAATTTGCACAAATTTAACGATTTAAAGAGGTTCCTAACATGAAACGTAAACCACCTTCAATAACGTCATTCAGGCAAGATCATGAAAATTTACAAATTTTGTGTTCGTTTTTGTCTTAACCTTGGTATGATTGAAAACATCAGGAATTATTTACATAGTAACGTGTATTTTTCTATCAGGAATAAGTGTGCAAAATATTTCTTCAATTGGCCCTTGTATAATAAAGCACCAACTGTTTGAAATCACCCACCCTCTTTTACAGCGCCTTATGCTAAAATTAATCCAGCAGGCAGGGCTAAGAAGTGTGAAAACAATTCAGCAGGCTAAAGGTTAAGGATAAAACCGTTTGACGTCTCAGCACCCTTGTACAGTAGTAATATGTGAGGCTAGAGGAAATCATTGATTTTAGGCACCGTGCCTGTGCTCTTGGTGTTTTTTTTAATTTGACCACATAAAAACGTGAAGGTTTTGCTGCTAACTCTTGGTGTTGAAGCCAACTCACCCAAAAGCAAACAAAACCTCATGCAGAAAAAAATGCATTTCTTCGTGTCGACACTAAAAGTTAACATGTTACATAGACCCGTAAGTGAGTGAGTGAGTTAAGATTTATAGTCACATCGGCAATATTTCAGCCATATCGTGACTAAATCAAGTTGGACATTACTAATACAGAAATATAGACATTAAAATCTGTCGACAAAGGACAGTAAAAACACTAGCCTATCACAGATGAAGAATGTAAAACTAGCATATCATAATAAAATTCATAACAATACACAATAAAAATGGGCTATAGATCACCAATAGTCAAAGGTAGGTCACCATACTAGGTACCATGGGGACTTACGATACTTCTGCTACCTACATGGTAACCCAGCAGGATTTACACCATCGCTCTGGCTACTGGTGATTGTCAGTAAGTTTAAGCCAAATCAGTTAAAAACAACAAGAATTCTACGATTAAAAACATGGAAAATGAAAAATACTTTGAATGAAATAGGACTTATTAGACCCGTAAGTGTACTCAAACCGGGTTCATAATGAAATGGAAAATATTGCTTCACTTATTATCCCCCGCGAACTTTGTTGGGCGGGGGATATAGAAACGGGCCCCGTCCGTCCGTCACGTTTCGTTTCCGGAGCATAACTCAGAAACCGTTAAAAAATTTGTCATCAAACTTTGCAGGTCTGTCAGGTACATGCTGAAGTGGTGCTATTGCTATTTAGAAATTTTAGAAATTTTAATTACTTTTCGTTTCCATGGCAACAAGATGGACTTAGGTTCTGTGAGGGTAGGGTTCGTTTCCGGAGCATAACTCATAAAGCGTTCAATATTTTTTCATGAAACTTTGCCTGTGTGTCAGGTACATAATGAACTGGTGCCTTTGCTATTTCGATTTTTTTATTTTTTACGTTTCCATGACAACAAGATGGACTTAGGTTCCCAAACTCTTCTTTTTTAAAAATTTCCATGACAAGTTCCACCTCGGTTAAAAAAGGTTAGTGTTTGTTTAGATTTAATTATGTCATAAATTCTGCAACAGCTGCGGGGGATATAGCCACGTTAGTGGCAAACTCTTGTCTTAATTTTTGTTTGTTTGTTTGTTGTTTAAGGCATCGAGCTGGAATAATCGAGTCTCGACCTGAGCATGGATCCACGCATACGATGACATGCATCATCAACAAAGTCACCGAGCCTGACCACCCGATCCCGTTAGTCGCCTCTTACTGGAAGCATGGGTTGCTGAAGACACTTATCATAATGAAGTAAGCATAACATAGTGTCTCATGACGTCTGGTAGTCTAGTGATTAGGACGTTGGTTACACCGAAGACCCGTAGTTCGATTCCCCAAATGGGTACACTGTGTGAAGCCAATTTCTTGTGTTCCCCCACTTGGGAATTTGTAAAAGGGCATAAAACCCTCCTCATTCATTTACTACAACATCTGTGTACAAACATTTAAAAATAACATATAATGCATAATAAGTTTGTTTTATTGTCATGAAGGGATTGTGACAGTTTTCCAGCAATCAGAAAATGTAGAGCATTTATCGTACCAATTTTCTCATCGTTGAGAATTTCAAACTTTTAGCAAATTATCAACATAAATACCGTGTCGTTATGAACAAGCAGTCAGTGTTTAGAATTCCAGAGAGTTAATTGAACGACGTGTGTTTCGATTTTCCAGTTAAACGTTTGTACATTAAAGGACTTGGTGAACAGCAACACCTCCGTCATCACCGAACAGATATCCTTTGAAGTGTCTGAGCTGGACCCGCTTCCACTTCCCTTCAGACTCCAGCGCCTTTACGTTCCTTCTAAATATGGCCGCTACGGCATCGCCATCTTCCGGGAAGAGCTTGTAAAAGGACGTATTGATGATGTACCCACCTGAAACAATATTCCGGAGGTAAATAAACGTATTGTGCGCTTGGTCTTTCTATCTAGACCTTGGACTGGTTGTTGAATGCTGATCATCCCATGTTTCACATACTTTCCGTATTCGTTTGTGTTTCAGTACCGACGACCATATGAGTGACTGGATATGGAGTATAGACGTATGCGTGTCCTCGGGGGTTATGTGGTCATCACGAACCTTGCCCATGAATAACTATTTCATCAGTAATGAAATACATTTATGCATGTATTGCGGAACATTGTTACCACAAGATTTTGGACGAACATCTCTCAACCATTATGTGACGGGGCACTGAGAGAACCAATGGCAATTTAAATTATCCAATTGTGGTATATGAACGTTAATTATTTTTTGTACGTTGTCAACATAGTCTCGATCCCTACAGAAGATCCATATGATGCCTCCTACACCATCTCTAACATTAACCCCCAAATCGTTTCGAATCCATAAATTTATCAGTGCAGCCAGGCATTCAAATTATATGTTTTCAGCAATGATTTTGATCTCCAATGTCACTTTATGTGTTCATATATGTTTGTGCCAACCAAACATCTGCCATTGCAAAATGTGTGAAAGAATCAGCCTAGACCTATTTCCGTATCTGTGGATCGTTACATGTCATTACTAAATATCCTTAACATGGAGACACCAAAACTGTTGCTAGTTACACCTAGTTACACCTAGTCCTTCCTTTTTCTTATCCATCCATTACCATCACTTAAAACCTCTTTCTGTAATCATCGGTAAAATAAATAATAGTGCATCTTCTGTAAGGGTAGAATGATCGTATGATATAACTTTTCGATATTAGATCATGTGCATTTTAGCGATTCTTAATGCTGACTGGTCAATTAACGCCAAATGACGTCACACTGCTTTCATCCATTGTTCATGACGTTATAAATGTATTACATTACGTCATCTGAACAATGGACTGCCACCAGTGACGTTTCTCTGTAGGATTGACATGTCAACCGTTTTTTTCTTCTTGTCTTGCTTGACAACGGTATGAGGATTTAACCGAAACGTCGCTATTACAGTATGATAAAGACGTTATCATTCATAAATTGTGTCAACTTTGTCATCCGCCAACTTCTAAACAATGTGTATCAAACAAAATATACTTTCCTGGTTTAACGATTCGGATGAGCTCCTCGAAGGCGTTTTTTGGCATTTTTTTCATAACCATTACGCTTAACCCAGAAATGGTCACAGCATCGTAGGTATCTAAAACAAATCTGGATATAATCAGGACAACACATTTTATTGTACACTCGATCACTCAGAAAATATTTATGCATTTATTCTGATGTTCAGAAGAAAAGCCAAGACTTAACTTTAGTAAAAATGAATTTTATTAGCGTCATGGAGGTTTTCACGTTCAATATAATTAATGTTGTAGATGTGAGGTGAAATGGGGATTAACGTCGCATTTAAGATTTCTGCACTGTGTGTGCATGTGTCTGCTAGTCTGGACTAATGCCGATTTATAGTGTTAGCCCACTGGGATACCATACCATTGTTTCATCCCTTTAATGCCGAGTGCCATCTTTAAACTTATTTTGGTGTGACGCGACCGTGGATCGAACCCCCGACCTTCCGTTCTCCAGGCAGACGCACTACCACTAGACCACGGAGGCAAGATCCGGGGTAGAACACGTCTTCAGCAACCCAGGCGTGCCGTAAAAGGCGACGATGCTTGTCGTAAGAGGCGACTAACGGGAACGGGTGGTCAGGCTCGCTGACTCGGTTGAAGGATGTCATCGTATCCCAGTTGCATAGATCGATGCTCATGATGTCAGTCCATGCAGGAAGCCAAGGCACTGGAAGTCCCCATGGTCCCTTGTATGGTGATCTCCGTCTAGTTACTGACGATCTCTTGCCAATTTTTATATTGTGTTGTAAACTTAAACTTTCTGCTTTTAAATATTCTCAACTAGTTTTAACTCGAATCTTTGATATTCTAGTTATTGTACTGTCCATCGTCGTCAGCTTTTTATTTAGTCGAAATGTATGTATTATTAATGTATAACCTCTCGTCACGATATGGCTGAAATACTGCCGATGTGACGTTAAATATTAACTCACTCACGATGTCAATCACTAAATTGTCTGGTCCAGAGAAAATTCTTTACAGATTGTTGTAGATATTGATTGTGGTAGTACAGAGTAGACAAATTTCACAATCCTAATTTGTTTAAAACAAGACACGGTTTGATAATACACAAATGGGTTAGAAGGGTATATATTTACGTTACATTCGGAACAAATATATGTGAGGCAAATGGTAACAAGAATAATAACAAGTAAACTGCGACATACCTGATATGAGATGATGTGCAGATTGAAACGAACAACACAGACATCTTGTCAGATGTTATGTACTACTTACCACTTTCAATATCCAAGGCATTCTCGCCTAATATAACGTTAAAGTAACGACCATAAAGGTCCTTCTTCTTGGACAGTTCAACCATTTCTGATGACGGTTCCAAGGCATCTATTCTGCGAAATCCGTGAGAGTGTAGCTGTAAATCAAGGACGAGTGCGTTTTACTGACATTTCTATAAATTTCTGTGTCGTACACTACTGTTCATAAGTAACGCCCCCTCGATTGCGATCGGGACTCGGAGGAAGCCCTCGATGCAATTGAGACCCTATCCTGATTCGAAAATTAAAACATAAAATCTCTATAGGATCGAGGGTTATACAACGTACTCTTCGACTCAATTGAACATAAATCCAAACCTACCGGTGATACCTTTGTCCGTATCACGTAAAAACGTAGAACTGGTCTTCAAACTAATTAAATAATGCAGCCGGTAACAAACTCCCCAAAACGTAGTAATCGCACAGTCTAAACTAAAATGAGTTTTTCTTGTTATTCAGCTTGATGATGTTTGAGTCATTGTTACAGCTATAACATAGCATTCATATGACATCGACATGTCAAAATTAATACATCACTCAACTGTTTTCCACTTACCTTTTCTGCACATTGACCAGTTCCAGCAGCAACGTCAAGAATATAAACATCCTCTCTGTTGTTAGGATAGAATTCAGCAGCAGACTGGGCAGTCTGAACGGGTCCTGTGAAGTTCACCCCTCCCAAAACCTTTATCAAACGGAAACAAGAAACATGGTGCGAAAAAAGGATCTACCACCTGTTCCATTTTGAGCTTTCCTTCCACCTAACGCTGACTCGCCGTGAAGTTATAATCACTGAGAGTTAGTATATATTACAATGACTATATTATATGTCGAAAATTCGCATTCTAAATACATGTGTAAAGAACAGTTGTCTTTACAAAACTACTTTACCTTTTCGTATTGATGGCTGTTTTGGGAAAATCTGTCAATGATGTCCTCACTTCCAGTCCCATCATCTCCAATCAAATAAAGAAAGACCTTCTCGACTTCGTCCCTCTCCTTCAACGGTATGTCTGCTGAGAACTTTTCATCCATTGTTCTTGCCGGGTCTAGGATAACGATGTAAATGTTGATATACACATTTGTCATATTTGAAAGAGAAGTTAATGGTTTGTGTCTCGTCGGTTTGTTAAAAATGTTTCCCAGGTGTTACTTTAAATCATGTCTATTGCCAATAAAATCTTAAAAAGTCAGTTTTCCGAGTCATGTGAAGGAGACTTTGTTATCCATACTTGACAACTGGTATTGTACATTGTATATTGAGCCGAGTTTCATGTGTGCCCGTATGTGCGCTTGTTGGTATTGTTGGAGGGAAACAAAGTGATCATACGTCATCATGTTCGTTTTAAATGTTTGTTTGTTTGTTGTTTTTTAACGCCGCACTCAGCAATATTCCAGCTATATGACGTCAGTCTGTAAGTAATCGAGTCTGGACCAGACAATCTAGTGATTGACATCATGAGCATCTATCCACGCAATTGGGATGCGATGACATGCATCAACCAAGTCAGCGAGCCTGACCACCCGATCCCGTTAGTCGACAAGCATCGTCGCCTTTTACGCCAAGCATGGGTTGCTGAAGACCTATTCTACCCCGAATATTCACAGGTCAAATAGATAATGCACATCGGACATAATCCAGAAGCAGTATCTCTCATTTTGCTGGTCAGATAGAGTGTGGCTAACAATTTTTAGGCGTTAATACCTTTATCTGTATCTTCGGGGTCTTCCCAGTTAGCTCAAAACTGAAATTCGGAAGGACATAAGGGCCTGGGGATTATAATCTGTTCCTGATTGGTGATAGATATGCTTCTTACAAAAGCTTAGAAGCTGAAGTAAGCATTTGACAGTTGAATTTTGTGTGAACACCTATCACCAACTGTCTGCAACTGTTTATCATCCACCCTTCAAATCACACGTACCACGTTTATCTCCGTGGCATACTAGCCACTGATAAGCTAAGTTTCTTCATAATAGACATAATTTATAAACACTTTTATCACCAATGCATCGGTCAAACTAAATTATATCATTCTGTCGCCATCAAAGTTTACAATAACTACTTTATCGTCAGTATAATCAGAAAATGAGGTAGTAGCTGTAATGTATCACCATATTCAATGTCTTTAGCGACTCGCTTTTGTTGGATGTGACTTCCTGGCATAGACATGCGCATTAAACGTCTTCCGTACCCCTCCAAACTTATGATCGTCAGTATACATAACATGGTGTCAGAGGCCAGGATTTGTGAAAGGATTACATCACGTTATGGCTGAAATATTGCGGATGTGACTATAAATCTTAACTCACTCACTCCTAAAAGATTACAAGCCATCTGACAGTTTAAAACTCTGTACATTGATACGAGAGACGATATCAAGAGGAATGGAAGGCGATTCAAATGAGGTAAACCAAAGACATGGAAGAACTTTAGAACACACGTGGATTCCATGTTAGGAGGGCCGTTGAGTAAAAACATTGAAGAGGAAAAATCCAATAACCTCAAGATATCGGTCAGGGAAAAAAGAAGAATCATATTTTCGACCTGGACCTTGAATGATGATCAGGGGAAACTTCAACAGAGCTATTACGGCAGGTTTGAGTTTCACGTTGCCCCTAAATCAAATTGCATATTTTCCAGACACAAATTTCACAGCAGAAGTCAGTTAGAGACAGATACAGTTGAAGAATGTATTATTACCGAACTCAGAGTGCTCGTCACAGATTGTGTTCACAATGATCCTGAAGATATGGTACGTGATAGAATTAAGTTTGGGACAAAACATGCTTGGGTGAGAGAGAAATACAGAACAGAAACACTAGGTGAGTGTTTCAAATAGAAGAATATAATGTAGTAGGACAAGGAAATGACTTGTTCTTTGGCATAATCGTCATGATTGGAGAGCCAAATACAGATTTGTATTCAGATTGGACGGAGGAAGTAACAATCAATCTTAGAACAGTAAGATTTCAGTTGGATACAGGTGCAAACCTTTTTTTTATCCGAATGTAGTACTGAACAGTAATGTTTAGAGGCCCACTCAAGAAGCCACTGCATTATGGATCAATCAGGAGTTATTCAGGTTCCATGCTACCCATAGAATGGACTGATACCCAGAAGAGTGCAGTTGGAAGTAGAGACAATGTTCATAACATTACTTTTAATGTTCATAACATTATTTTTTATGTTGTTGATGTGACTGAAATACTTGTGCTTGGAGGTGCAACCTGTTCAGAAATTGAGCTGGAGAGTTTGTCTTGTAGAAACAAACAGTCAAACTGAAAACAACATGCAGAAAGTGATGAATGATGTATTTGAAGGTTTGGGATGCCTACCAGGGACATATGCCATTAAACTGAAAGCAGAATACATTCAGTGACTCACCCTCCCCTAAAGCTTGCTGTTGCTCTTCGTCCCAAAGTCAAGATGCAGCTATACAGAAAGGAGAGCTCAGGTGTCATAGTCAGACAAACAGCATGGTTGTAGTGGTGAAACCCAACAAAATGCGGTTTTGTCTGAATCAAAAAGATTTGACCTCTCCTATTCGTAGAGAATATTTCCTTTTGAAGACCACTGTGGAAGTCGTGGCTCTTATGCTTAATGCTACAGTGTATTCAAAACTGGATGAAGTCTACGGGTTTTGGCAGATTTGTTTAGACAATTAGTCGTGAAATCTGTGCATGTTCAGTACCCCCTTTGAAAGGTGGGGGCACGGGTTGCACCGTCATCTAAGGCGCCGCGATTCGCTGTGCAGAGTTGCGTCCCTTGGCACGCCAGAAACCTATGATTGTGGATTTGAATCCCGGTTCGCCCCGATTATGTTTCAAGGTTTGTCAGCACCATACCCGTGCTCGTGGGTTTCACCAAAGTGGTAAACGTCTGAGACCTGCTTGGGGCTTTCCTCCCACATTAAGCTGACACGCCGCGATATACTGTTAATAGCCACATTAAACCCATCTCACTCACTCACTCACCTTTGGAAGGTATAGATTCGCGAGAATGCCGTTTGGTATTAAGTCTGCAGCTGAAGTGTTCCAGAAAGTTATTTCGAAGATTTGCCAGGTGTTGAAGCTATAATGGATGGCATACTGGTATGGGGTGTGAACACAGCAGAACATGAGGCAAACCTTGCAAGGCTACTTTAGTGAGTGAAAGAATACAACTTGAAGTTGAATGAAGAGAAGTGCAATTTTAGGGTCAACAAAGTACAATATGTTGGACATGAAATAACAAGTGAGGGTTTATACGTCCAGATCGAGGAGAGATCCGTGCAGTATCCCAGAGGGAACAACCCAGGAACATCAAAGAACTCAAAACCTTTCTTGGCTTTATTCAGTATCTTTGAAAGTTTATGCCCAACATGTCAGATGTCAGCCAGCCACAAAGAAAACTGACAGTCAAAGATGTGGAGTGGCAGTGGGAAGAGGAACAAGAGCGCAGCTTTCAGCGTCTGAAGACCATGGCTACAACGGCACCTACACAAGCGTTTTGACCCAGAAGCACCACTTACGCTGTCAGTTGACACAAGCTCTACAAAACTCAGAGCCACAATGATACAGAAGGGCAAGCCTATTGCCTATGCGTCAAGAGCTCTGAGTGACGCACAGACCAGATACGGTCAAATTGAGAAAGAAATGCTTGCCATCTCATATGGCTTTCAAAAATTTAGTATATGTACATGCGAAAAGTGGATGTTAAAACCGATCACAAGTGCTTCATGATGCACCTCTATGGTTACAGAAAATTCTGATGTCAATGCAGAAATATGAACTGAATGTTCATTATCATCCAGGCAAGAGTTGCTGATAGCTGATCATCTCAGTAGACCTTACCTGAAAGAGGTTGACAAGACAGAACTGCCTGAAATAGAAGTGAACTTGATTGCTTTCCTGCCTACTTCCGATGAGAAGTAAAAAGAATTTTAAGAAGCGACAACCGAAGATCCTAAAATGAGTGAATTGAGAAACTATGCCAAGGACGGATGGCCAATGAATTCAACTGACGTCAGCACAAGAGTCAGAAGATACAGGACGTACAGAGAAGAAATCTCATGTGTGGCTGGTCTTCTCTTCAAAAATCATAAATTAATAATGCCATCTAGTCTGAGAAGAGAAATGATAAACAAAATTCATGAATCACACCTTGGAGTGGTGAAATGCAAGGGCAGAGCAGGGGAAACACTATTCTGGCCTGGAATGGCCAGTTCATTGCCAGGTGGGGTGTATGTGCTTCATACAATAAATGCAACCCAGCGGAGATGCTGATCAAGAATGAAGAACCAAACAAACATTGGGACTGATCTATTTGAGTACAAGGCCAAAGAGTCTAAACAGTCTTCTACTTCTCAAAGTTGCCAGATATAGTTATCCTGGAAGACACAAGCAGCCTGAGAGTGATCAACCACCTAAAGAGCCAATTTGCAAAATATAGGATGCCTGAAACTGTTACGGTCCACAGTACAACAGCGAAGAATTCAGGAAATTTGCTGAGGACTACAAACACGTTTCAAACACGTAACATCAAGTCCCGAGTTCCCACAGTCGAACGGACAAGCAGAACACACAGTTTAGTCTCTCAAGTCAATTCTGAGAAAGGACAAGGACCCCTACAAACGACTTGTAGATTATCGCAACAGCCCTATTAATCGAATTGGTAAATCACCAGCTCAGATATTCCTTGGCAGAAGATTGAGACCCAATCTTCCCAACTCAGTTCCATAACTGAGATATGGTCGTTTAGTTTCAGACATCCAGTCTCTCATGACAAGAGAAACCAGTTAGCAAAAGTATCATGGAGGTAAAACAGACCTGACCCCATTGTTCACAGGCAGTCGAGTCATGATGAGAGATGACCACAAATGGGTTCGAGTGGAAGTTGTCAAAAAACATGAAACGACGAGATCCTACATCATACAGACGAGTACTTACCGACGCAATCGTAAAGATATCAGACTGACTCAGGTGGAAACTGCAAGGCAACCTGAGATAACATGTACACCCACAGTACAACCACCCACACTGCCTACCTCGATAACACTACCTAGACAAC